TTTTTTTATCTTTGAAGACGGTCGGGTAAGAAGACCTCTCCCGTCCCCTTAGCGCCAAAAGCCAAGATGCCCGACGAGTGTAATGCGCTAAATATGCTAATTTCTTATGGCAGATGACTTCATCCTTGCTCGAAAAGTATGTGTAGTTATTTTCAAAAATAGAAGCTCATGTATCATCGAATGTTCTTGGACAGGGACAAACAATAAGGGAAGGGGGCATGACCACTAGAGCTGACATAGTCCCTCATGTATATCCAAGTTCCCTAGAGTCTTTCTCAAGCGTCTGACACTGACAAATAAACGAACTTTCCTTGAGGTATCTCAAATTCAATACTCACGATGAGATTTCCCCCGACCACGAGCAATAGTGAGCATAAAGCATTCTCCATTACAACACGGGTAGGAGAATCACAAACCTTTGCATGCGTAAAGGAATGTGAGCAAATGGTAACCAATTCAACAGGGTCCTCTATTTCTGAACTTCCCTAGTAGCTGGAATGTTGGTTGCACCTACCGAAAGAAGTATGACCCTAAGAGTCCTTTTCATCAGTTACATTGTTTTATAACATTTCATTTTATATGCAAAACAATAATAAACAAGTTAGAAGGAAAAAACCAAAGGCTATTCAAGAAATTGTGATTACCAAATATCTTACCAAAATGATCAGCCTAGCCTTCTTCGAGCAGACGTCCATTAACAAACACATCTATATGTACCACTTCCCTCGTCTTTTTTTCCCTCGTATCGGAAGGGACTACACCATCGTGGTAACCCATAACTTCAAAGAAAGATACCAATTATCTTTTCAAGTAATCTCTTTTTGAGAAAGATAAACTATTTTATAAACATAAGACCTCAAATCCGTCTGGGAATGACTCTGACGCTAGAGCTTGAAGAACCTGTTTGAACATTGGTAAGGAGGCTTAAGATCTATGGTACATATATTAGCATGGGTCTCCTCGTTGAAGGGTTAGCCAAGAAGTAATAATATTTAAAGTGTTTCACATTCTTAGAGCATACCTCGAACATCTCATCACACTGTATGAGAGATATGAAACATTGGCCATGTTCTTATTCAATAGAGCTACATTGGGATTTAAAGAGATGTAAGAGAATTGGTGTAGTCGACACACTTTTCTTATATTTCACACTAACATTGGAAGACCTTTATGTCGGCCAAACTCACTAAATTTAGTCATAAAGGGGTGATTAATAAATAATTAAACACATCGACCTAAAAATCATTGAAGGGGATATGGAATCCAATTAAAGAGAATAAACATTCATGAATGGGAAGGATGCACCTGTCGTATTTGTTGCAAATTCTCTTATCATACTCAGGGAGAATCATTTCCTAATATTTAGAAGGTCCCACCGTCGTGAAAGCGTGGTATAAACTATCCTTAAAAGTATAAGTAGAGACAATATCTACTGTCTCTTGGTTCATCCATATCGATGAGTTATCCCCTATGGCCTTCCAAACTTCAAGTTGGATGTTATCCATTATGAGGGGTCTTGTCAACACATGAAATAAGTGAATACAACTAGCAAGTTGAAATCCAAGCCTAATGTTTCGACTAAAATGTATGCAAAATAATCCACTAAATCAACAAAAATCTCCTTCGTTGAACCCAATGATTTTCTTTCATGTAAACCCTAATAAAGAAATCAATAATGAAAAAAATGAGAAATCTTGGCATTACCTTAAAATAAATAGATTCCAAATATCCGCACACTTAAAGAAAGAACACAAAGTAGTTAGGAATAAAGACCTATGCAAAAAACACCATTGAAGAAAAGTTTTATTAAACCCACACGCATCGAAAAAAGAGAAGATTAATAGTCCAAGAGCTTATTATATGCATTTCAGTAGTGAAGAGTTGTGAGATCTACCACGTTGGTAAATGAAAATTACACCTTAAATGGTCGAGCTCTCATCGCGAACCGCTCAGAGTAATTGAGTATCTTAGGACAGAAAAAAACATCATTACCATCAAAAATAGGAACACACATCAGAATTTCTTTGTGAAATATCGTTGATCAAGAGACAAGCATTTAATGCATTTGTTCTTAATACTAGTAACATTACATCCAGACTATTCACCTACTTCTGACAACAACCGACATAATGTGCACACTGCAAGCTTTCACTATACACCATATGAATCAGAGCTTGAGGGCAAGTGTTATAGTCTGTTCGTAAGGCCCATAAAGAAAGGCCCAAGAGCGGATCTCAAGTGAAAGACACACATAACATGCAAACCTTCTTTCTAATCAAAAGTAGGCGATTACACCCTTCAACACATCAACCACCATCTGATCCAATCTGACGACTTTTCGTGCAACACAATGTATCACACCATGCAATTTCATTTGCTCTTAGTATACAAGGTTAAATAGCGTCATTTTAGGTATTCAAATCTATTATAACTCTCACACGACTTTTCGCTCTCATACTAACTTAGACATTGAAATGCTAATCATGTAGATCAACTCTCTCTCTGTCGCACCAAAAATTTACTCCACTGATTTAAGATCTTACCACACCACTTCACTAAACATTCTTAGAACATAAAATTTAACATTAACTTTCTTCATATGAGATGTTTTAAAATCAAGGTGAGTGACTTATATGATTGCAAGGTTTAAGGCATCTAGGTTATCTCACCATGTCTCGTTCATGAGAATCTTTAACGTGTTTAATTCATTTAATAAAATGGGTATAAATTAATAAATACATTGTATAGTTATGAATTCATTTGTTTCAACTTATTTTAAAAGTAACTTTTATAGTTTACATATTTTTATTTGAAAAATTTACAATAATATTTTTTTAGAAAAACTTTAAATAAAAAATTAATTTAAATAATTATTCACTATTTCAAATAATTTTTTATAAAAATTATTTTCGAAATACATCTTTTAAGAAAAATGGTTTCCACTATGTTTTAATTTATATATATATATATATATATATATATATATATATATATATATATATATATATATATATATATATATATATATATATATATATATATATATATATATATATATATATATATATATATATATATATATATATATATATATATATATATATATATATATATATATATATATATATATATATATATATATATATATATATATATATATATATATATATATATATATATATATATATATATATATATATATATATATATATATATATATATATATATATATATATATATATATATATATGAATATTTTTTAATATTTTTAAAATATTTTTATAAAAATAATTTCTAAAATTTAAAAAGAAATTCGTTTTTTTTTTTTTAAATTTAAAACAAACATACTCTATATGTTAGATCATTTTTGGCATAAACAAGTGTAGTAAAAAAAACTTATGTTTAAACAATTGAAACATTGATGAATAGATGTGTGCTATATAGTTATTAAATTTGAAAGTTACACAACACAATACTTATTCTATACCTTCATTTAAAGCAACCATAAAAAGTCTCTAGATGTTACTTCATTTTAATTTGAACTATTAAGAAATTTTTTAAAAACTAATTAAAAAATTCAATTTATAGGTTGATAAAAAATAGGTTGAAGGCATAAGTTAAGAATCAAAGATAAAAACATTTATTTTAAAAATGATTGATTCAATTTTTAAAAATTTTAAATTTGTAAAAATTATTATCCAAAATATTTTCCAAATAATTTTGAAAGACATGGTTTAAAAGAGGTAGCGTCGCCCCATTGCAATTGTGACGTAGTAAATTATCACACACACAATCAGTAAACCAAATAAAAGAGTGGTGAAAATGGTTTATTTGATTTATAAGAAACAGATCATAAAAAAATTACTTCGGAGAGACAAAACCAGATCTCACCCGAATAGCAGCGCGTATAATTAACCCTAAAATTAAAGGGCAATTGGATAAAGGGGAGTAGTCGATTGTGGCGGCCAGAAGCAGTGGAAAATTTGTTCTATGTTTTAATTTTCATTCATTTCTTCAGATTTTCCTTCCCTTCTCCTGGTGCGAGGATGCAATTCCAGCGCGATTTACGACGCTGACCCTCCATTCCGCACCGCAATTTCACTCTAAAGCAAACATATTGTTATTCCTAACTTCAGTTTTCTTCTCACTCTTCACACCTGACACAAGGCTTGAGGATCTTACAATATGATTCAAGTAGCGAATCCCTTTGAGTTACTTCAATTTAAGACTTCTTCTTTCTTCAGACCCATTCCAAAACCCTTAATTTCCTTCCAACCACAAACTAGAAGTATGTTTAACATAACTTCAATCTGCCCAACTTGTCGCTGTCCATAATTGATTGCATAATGTGAATTTTGATATTGTTTATAATGAGATTCAAATTTCCTTGCAGGTTTTATTACGAAACCGTTAGTTATCAAAGCTAGGGCAAATGCTAGAACAGAAAGTCCTAAAATTCGAAACAGAAAGATGCAGAAAAAGGTACTACAAATACATATATTACAGTGTGGTTTTTTTTACTCTATCTGTTATTAATACCATTTTCTTCAGTTTAATGGAACAGCAACACATCCAAGGCTTTCGGTATTTTGCTCGGATAAACAATTGTATGCAATGCTTGTAGATGATCATAATAAGAAGTGTTTGTTCTACGGAAGTACGCTGCAGAAATCCTTCAGAGAAAATCCTCCGTGTAGCACTGCTGTAAGTAGAGTCCGCCTCATTTTCGAACTGTATGAGATAGGAAGACGGCTTTCGTTACATTAGACTATGTATTTTTCTTATGTGTTGGTGAAATATTGTTTTAGGAAGCTGCTCGACGTGTTGGGGAGGCTCTTGTTAAAGCCTGTGTTGATCTCAATATAGATGAAATATCATCCTACGATCGCAACGGCTTTGGTCGCGGAGAAAGGCTAAACGCGTTTGAGATTGCCATTTCCAATTATGGATTCTTGTCTAGATAGGTATGTAATTGATGGTACTGCTATCTTGTTAAACACATGAAGCATTCTGCTGTAGAAGTCAATGGGACAGGAATATATATTGCTTTATCATCTGTTAAATCACACTGTGCTCAGGAAGTTTGTGCAAGATAAATTATCGGTGTAAAGAAGGCTGTGCAAGATAAATTATCTGAAGGCGTGAATGAACGAGGACTTACTTTGACAGGATTTCTATTTCTTCATGCTCTTTTCATAGAAAAAGGGCGTCTTGAGACCACATAGACTGTGCTCAGGAAGTTTGGATATAACGATGATATCAAGCTTGCTGATGATTTATTTCCACCTTTGAAATACACTCCCGATCATGTGGTTCTTTTGAGATGAATTGTGGCTACGTGTATCATGCTCTTTATATGTTATACATGTTTGTGTTCAATTTTCTGACAGCTAGAACTTATACATTTTCTATTCTCATTGGATTTAATCTCTGCAGAGTGTTGAGTTGACAAATGAAGCCATTGAATTCTTGAAGACAATTTTTGAATTCTTGATATCATCGTTATATCCAAACTTCCTGACCACATGGACTGTGCTCAGGAAGTTTGGATATAATGATGATATCAAGCTTGCTGATGATTTATTTCCACCTTTGAAATACACTCCCGATCAGGTGGTTCTTTTGAGATGAATTGTGGCTACGTGTATCATGCTCTTTATATGTTATACATGTTTGTGTTCAATTTTCTGACAGCTAGAACTTATACATTTTCTATTCTCATTGGATTTAATCTCTGCAGAGTGTTGAGTTGACAAATGAAGCCATTGAATTCTTGAAGACAATTTTTGAATTCTTGATATCATCGTTATATCCAAACTTCCTGACCACATAGACTGTGCTCAGGAAGTTTGGATATAATGATGATATCAAGCTTGCTGATGATTTATTTCCACCTTTGAAATACACTCCCGATCAGGTGGTTCTTTTGAGATGAATTGTGGCTACGTGTATCATGCTCTTTATATGTTATACATGTTTGTGTTCAATTTTCTGACAGCTAGAACTTATACATTTTCTATTCTCATTGGATTTAATCTCTGCAGAGTGTTGAGTTGACAAATGAAGCCATTGAATTCTTGAAGACAATTTTTGATGCATTTGATGCTGATTTTGTATGTCATTTCCACATATGACCTTGAATAATTTCAATTTTTCATGCTGCTCCCCAATCATTTTTGGACATTTTCTCGATTTACTTCATCGTTATACAAAGTGAAAATTAACCATATATTTTCCTTCCTCTAGGATGGGATGCTGCGACCCTGTGAACTTGAAGAATTATTTGCACTGGTTTCTTATGAAGTTGGTGGAATCTTTCTTATGTTATGTGCAATTTTTCAAATGTACACATGACACGTGCTTTAAGGATGTGGTATATGCTTCTGACTTTGTTTCTTTAATGTTTTTATGAAGTTCAGCTATTCCATTTTTTTACGTATACCTTTCTCAAGTCTAAATGTCAATGAGGACTCTTGGCAAAATTATTTTATGCTTATAATTTTTAACCTTTCTCAAGTCCAAATGTCAATGAGGACTCTTGGCAAAATTATTTTATGCTTATAATTTTTAACCTTTCTCAAGTCTAAATGTCAACGAGGACTCTTGGCAAAATTATTTTATGCTTATAATTTTTAATTGCAGTCCCTGGATTGGAAATCCATATGAGGATTCTGCAGAAAGGAATGCATTTCAAGGACTATCACTTGATGCATTTTTGTCAGAGGTGCACAAGTTTTTCTTATATTTCTCTCTACTCCCTCTTAAATCTTGTTAAACAATGTTATGTAGAGACTGGTGGATTTCTACGGACAGTTTTACCACTCAATTTGGATAGTGTTTTGAGAATCAAGGTTGCCTCAGTTTGACATGTCATATGACTTTATGTCTGGTCTGTGCATCTTTTCAGTGCATATAACATAACATAAAATTTACATCACCATTGATTTGTTTTTAATAAATATATAATATTTTTTCTGGACAGTGGGCACTCATGACTCTGCTAAACCCAACCTTCAGTGTGGAGAACTTAATATACCTTGGTTATTCTGGTGATCCATTATCTGCTGTCCGTGTGACTAGGAAGCGCCGCACTGATCGTAAAAGACAACTTTCTGAAAGAAATGTATTGCAGTGCTTCGTTTTCGGGCCTAGGAATGCCGGAAAATCCGCTTTATTGAATTCTTTCATTGGAAGGTGTGTTGCTGTGTTACCTTGAAGATTCCTGGTACATAGCTTTAATTATTGAACATCATATCTTAATTTTGTTGAATTAATATTGCAGGCCATATTCTGAAGCTTACAATCCAACCATCGAGGATCGTTATGCTGTAAATGTTGTTGATATTGTGAAGGTAAATGACACTTGATTGACACTTTATTTTCTTTCACCTTTTTCCGTACCAGAGTCTTCATTTGATTCATTCATTTTGTTCATCTTGGCATCTGTATATTCAAATTCATGGTTTATTATTTACTTTGCAGGAAAACAAAAAATATCTTGTGCTGAAAGAGATTCCAGAAAGTGGAGTTGAAAAGCTGCTGGCCAATAAGGAGTCTTTGGCCTCATGTGATATTGCAGTTTTTGTTCATGATAGGTGACTGTTGATATTAAATTCCACCATAACATAGAAATTACGAATTACCGTTTCTTTAGTTATTCTTCTAAAATTGCTATAGTATAAGGGTATGTTTCACTATTAAACTACTTAGTGCATATGGTGTATTTGAGCATAAAATTTGCATTTGTGTCTTGGATTTTTAGCTCATATAAGCAACTTTTCAACATCTGAAATCAAATGCATTTAGATAAACTCCATTGTGCATCTGGATCAACTCCATAGAGTTGAAGATAGTAAAATAAGAAATTGAAAGATTTCGTTGAAATTGTTTGTTTGGAAAGTTCCCGAAAAACTTATCATGGGTTCTTCTGTCCAACGGAACAACAGCGCAATTATGCCCATTACTAAACTTTTTGAAGAGATAAAATAGAACCATGATATCCCTTTTTGATCCGAGGTTGGATCGATCATCAGAAGAAGAATTAGGCCAGAAATTAGGATCAATTCTGAAAAAATATAACTTCCATAAAAAAGAAGCAAATAAAAGGCGCATCTGGATCAACTTTCAGTATACCATATAAAGTATGTATTACCGTTTCTTTAGTTAATTCTTCATTTGCATTATTATAAGAATAGGTTTCACTATAAAACTACTTTTGAGCCTGTGGTGTATTTAAACATAAAATTTGCTACTGTGTCTTGGATTCTTACTTGGCTCATATAAGCAACTTCTCAACATCTGAAATCAAAAATATTTAGAAAAACTCCATTGTGCATCTGAATCAACTTCCTAAAACAACAAGTTGGTTGAATACCACGAATTTTGGGTTGAATTTGTCAAACTAATGAAGTGAATTATCCCCTCTAGTCTCAATTAACTGTAATTTCATGTTCATGTGGTCTGGACTGTGGGCAACTCATACTTATTACCTGGAAAAATGTTGGTTGTTTAAAGCTCAGCTGATTAAATATTCATTAATTCTTTTAAGGTCTGTTGAGTCTTCATGGAGGGCATCATCTGAACTCTTGGTAAATATTGCTGGACATGGAGAAAATACTGGCTTTGAGGTGCCATGTCTTATAGTTGCAGCTAAGGATGATCTGGAATCATTTACATCGGCAATACAAGATTCAATTAGGGTATTTTTCATTAACTTATTAGTTTGCATGATAGTATTTGAATTTTACATGCATGTTTCTCTATACATAATTGTTGTATGGTTTAGATAATGAATATTTAATATAGTGAATGGACGTGTCTTGGAATCATGATTTCATCTGATTTTCTGAGTAGCAATAATCATATATAGTGGCCTGTGTATGTGTAGGCTTTGATCTATAGATTGAAATTTGGTTAAGCAGGTTGAGAACTACTTCAACTTTTTTAAAATTGGGATGTTTTGGTTGTAATTATTATTGTACACATTTACACTTAACTGATTTTTATTTTTCAAAGTGAAGTTAGAGTAAAAAAAGGAATGTTTTAAAGAAATGGTCTAGGTGTAAAAATGCCGAAACTTGGAAAAAATATAAGAAAGCTAAGAAAGAGATCAAAAAGGCAGCGAGTGACGCAAGAACCCAAGTTTTTGACGGTTTATAGCAACATTTAGGAACCAAGGCGGGAGAAAAATCTATATTAGGCTGGCAAAGTAAGTTAAAAATTAACACGAGAATAAAGTAAGTGTTACAGAAATGAAGATATTGCGTTGGAAGTGTGGTACGAGTAGATGAAATTAGATAAGAAATGACAATATTAGAGAGTGTGTTGGGGGTAGCACCTATAATAGAAAAGATGGTGGAAAATAGATTTTGGTGGTTTGTGCATATAGAGAGAGACGAGCTGTAGATTCTGTTGTAAGCAGTGTATGCAAACTCGCGAGTTGATTCGTAGAATCGGACGAGTCAGCGTCCCAAACTTCCACTGTCGCGCTGCAGTTCAGGTGGGATCTGAGGTATCTAACTAGGTAAACTTGTGCGAGTTGTCTAGCTAACTAGTTTTGAAAAAAACCCTAGGCGATGTTATTTTTTGGGGGGACTTTAGTAAAAAAAACTCTAATGTTTTTAAAATTGGCTGGATTTGGGTTGGTTTCACTTTCACTTAAAAACCATAATTAATATTTATTAATATTAATGAGGAATTTATTGAGACACTAATTCATTCCTTTTTAAATACAGTGTAACTTTATCCTGAGTGATTATTTACGACTGCTTATTACTCCATTAATTCCTCCTCTTCTCCCTAAATTCTTCCTCTCCATTATAAACCGTAATTTCTCTTTCATATTATAATGTTACTACCTCTTCCTCTTAGTTGAAGTGTACTGCATACTGTAAATCACATTATTTAAATATGACGATTTTTGGATTGTGTAAGTATTATACATGTATAAATATATTTTTCTACCAGTAGTAGGCCTTACGATCCGTGCTCTATTGATTCTGCATTAACTATCGAGTTTTTAAACATTGGTTGTAAGGAGAATAGATTAGATGGAGAGGAGTTAATCAACTAGAGTTAGAGGAAGACCTAGAAAACCTATAAGAGAAACTTTTAAGAAAGATCTCGAGATTAATGGAGAAACTATGGAGAGGACTCATCTGTAGATGGCAGTTTGAAGCTACTAATAACCAGAGTAATCAATCCCGGATAGTGGAGCAGAGCGGCCGACCCAAAAGTGAGATATCGGGATGACCCTGATTTGAAATGTATTTTTTTAACGATTCACATGAATAATATTATACATATTTCATGTAAAGAATTATATAAATACAAAAAAAGAAATAAAAAAACACAAATAAGAGACCAAATAAGAGTTAGAAAAAATAGAGTAGAAACGGTTAGAAAATGATAAAAAAGAAGGAAAGGAAAAAAGAAATGAGATGAAGGAAAAATAGGGAAAAGGAAGGATAAGAAATGAAAGAAAAAAAAGGGGAAAAGAGACTAATCTGAACAAAGAGAGGACAGCGGCGATCCTAGAGTGAGGGAGGAAGAACACGAAACTGAGAAAGAAAGGTGAAAAAGGATTTTTTTTCTTCTTTTTCTTTCTTTTTTATCGGGAAAGTGTTAAACCCCTCATAAAGAATACTTATAAGAGGAAGGAGCACCAATAAAGCAAGATAAATGCTGTCAAGTAATAGCAGCAGATAAGTAGTCATGTTAATGGCATCTGTAGCAGTTACAAATTTCTAAAGGCAGCAGTTATTATTATTACTAGAGTAACAATTAATATTAGGAACTGATCTGACCTGATCAGAAGGTTTGGACCGTCACGGCTTGCTCCGAGCTGAAGGCTTTTTGAACGAGGAGGGGGGGGGGGGGGTACCTGCAAGGCACTCCGATGCTAAAGTCAGTGGGAGTACGAGCAGATAATAGAGTTGAGGTTAGAATGATGAATACCTGACCCTCTGGAAATAGAGGGTATTTATAGCCCCCAGCGCTGGGCCAAGGTTCCTTCATTGGGCCGGGCGGATTTGGCCCAATGGAGGAACTGCCAGGTTCTACGTGGGTAGTGGGGACCAGCACGTGGTCCCCTTCCTGGATGTGCTGCGTGAAGTGCGGGCGGACGGAGACGCGGTCTTTCCGGAGTATCGTTGGGGCAACGGTGGACTGAGTCTGCCCTAGCCAGGTAGCTCGAGACCATGTCGAGCTGCGCAGCACGGTGCCGAGCTCGACGCCAAGACCTCGAGCTGAACAGCGAGTGTCGAGCTGGACGTCAGGACATAGAGCCGGACGGCAGGGTGTCGAGCATGACTTCACCGCGTGGGGCTGGACATCGAGATGTCGAGGTGGACATTAGGGTGTCGGGCATGGACGCGATCCCCTTTGCCCAGTGTGGTCCTTAGTGAGTCCCTTTGGACTGGGCCTTAGTAATGCTTTTGGGCCTGTCGGGTCCAGTCCAGAACAGGAGCCCCCCAAGTCGTGGTTCCTTCGCGAGGAGCCATGACTTGAAACCAAGTTGTTCCGTCGCTGAGGTCTCGTGCCCGGGATGGAGGTGTGGACCCTCGAGGGGTCTCCTCGTGTCGTGCTCGGAGACGTCCTCGGCGGTGGATGCGAGGAGGACCCGTACCGGGCGTGCCGGTCGAGCACACGAGGCATCTTTCGGGAGTTGTGCCGCCACCCTAGGGGGGTAGGGCCATCATTGCGTTGGGAGCAGTGCGTCGAGGAGATGGAGTCCGTGGTTGAACGAGGTGACGTTTGGTATTCCACGTCATCACTATAAATAGGGTCCTTGGGCCCCATAATACGTTTTCCGTTCTCCGTTCTCTCTCCGTTGCCGCTCTCAACACTTTCCCCAGTTGTGACTTCCCGTCTCAGATTCTTCATCTCTTAGCCAAATCCCAACTTTGATCCAAGTAAGTGATCTACTTTCCTCATTTTTCCGTTTTAGAATGCATGATTCCTGGAATTTGTAGATGTTTTAGGATCGTGCGCGTGGGATTAGCCCGGTAGATTCGTGTTTTGCCCGACATATTCATGTCTAGGACCGGCAAACGCATACTTGTGGCCGACACATTCATAGTTTTAGGTGAAAAACTTCAGAGCTGCCCGGTGTCTTCATGATCCGGGGCGCCTGATTCATGATCGTGCCCGGTATGTTCATGGTCGTGGCCGTGGGCTTCATAGTGCGGCTCGCCATGTTCATACCTCGGGTCGACATGCTTGGAGAGTGGCCGCGCGGTTGGTTTGAGGAAGAACACTGGGTTCAGGAAAGTCGGGGAGACATCCACTTGTGAAAACGGACTTGAGTAGTCGTGTATGGACGACATGATTATGTCGAGCATAGGACTTCGTGCTCAACTGATTGGTTTCCCGTGCTCTGCAGGTAACCATGGCGGACGAGCCGAGCTCCTCCGGACGTCGTGATCGCGAAGAACAGAGTGCCGACGAGTCGGCCACCTTAATAGATACCGTGACCGACCCATTGCTGGAATGGGTGGGTGTCGAGCCTCGGGGGACAGCGTCAATATATAGCCGGGATGACCGACATCCCTTCACTGCCATTGAAGAGGGCCAAGACCAGCCCGACTTCCAACAGAATTTCGTGGTCATGCTTCCGTCGACCAATGCAAGAATTTGCTCGGTGTACCCGAACTACGGCTTCGCGATGTATGAGATCGCGTTTAAGGACTTAGGGCTGCGGCTGCCGTTCACAGATTTTCAGACCGGAGTCTTTATGCATTTGGAGCTGGCCCCGTCCCAGCTACACCCAAACTCTCTCGCCTTCATCCGGGCGTTTGAGTTGACGTGTCGCTACTTGAGGATAGGGGCGACCATCCCTCTTTTCTTTCGGGTCTTTCACCTACAGCGTCAGTCCCGAGGAGGGAAGCACAGCTGGGTGTCCCTGAAGCAGTCGAGGAGACTGTTTAAGATGTATATGGACTCGGTGAGGGGGTTCAAGGACAAGTGGTATGTGGTACGCCCTATTACCGACTCTGCTGTAGATTCCCTCTTCGAGGAGGAAGGGCCAGTCAACGATGATGACGGGGAAGCGATGGTGGCCGACGACGGGAGCCCCGTGTTAGGACGTCGGGCTAAGTTCCCGGTGTACTGGATGTCCCGACATTACGAGCATGGGACAGGTTATTTCCATACCGCTGTCGGGGACATGTGCCCGGAAGATCAGCGGTCGTACGAGGCTCTTTGCCGGTTTGTCGACAGTTTTCATCCCGCCCAATGGGTTACGCGGGAAGGGGATGATATCCTCGACAAAGACGGTTACCCGACATTCGAGTCTCGCCCGATCGACACCAAGGCGCTGGTGGAATGTTCGACATATAGGCAGGCAACCCGCCTGTTAGGTTATTTGTTTTGAAATTCTTTATTCGTCATTTATTTACGCGGTTTGCTCGATACTGACTTTTCCTTTACTTCGTGCAGGTACGATGGCCAGCCGTCATGAAAGGCTCCTGAAATTATCAACCGGCCAGAGGCGAGGCAAGAGGGTCGTGCAGGCCCCGCAGACGACGAGAATGGGACCACCACCAAGTCTGAACGCTCCTCAGCCGGTGAGGGTGGACTCGACGTCGAGCTCGGGAGCAGCGTCAGATCCAGAGGTCGAGGAGATTGACCCCAGCGCTGTTTTGACGCAGAGGAAGAGGACCCGCGTGGAAAGCGGTTCGACCGTCGGGGAGGATGCCGGAGCTGTTCAATCTTTTGCCTTCCCCCCTTGCTTCGAAGAGGCGGGCTTTTTCGAGCGGTTTCCTCCGACAGTGGTCGCTCATGAAGCTGAGGCCATAAAGAAGATGAGTAAGGAGGAAAGGAAGGCCTATCTGGCCGCCAGCGTGGACGGGCTGGTTAAAATGGCCGAGATGGCTCTGGTGTTATCTGAGGATGCAGGGGATGCTGCTCGCGTTGAAGAGCTCGAGCAGGAGAAGGCGGCCTTGACTGCGAGCTCGCGGAAGTTGAAGGTCGCTCTGGAACGCTCCGAGGGGATGTTCCGAGAGCAGACCGCGATACTTGATGCCGAGAGGGAGATGCTGACCTTGGAAAAGGAGAAGTCGGGGAGGTTGACTGAGGAAGGGGAGTTGCTCCGGACCGACAGGGATCGCTTGGCTGCTGAAGTCGAACGCCTGGGTAAACAGGTTGAGGAACTGAATGCTGTCCAGCAACCTGCCGAAGATGAGCCCGAGGACCTAGTGATTTTGAAGAGTCGGGCTGAGCTTATCGCCCATATCCGGCTCCTCGAGGCGGACTGCGTCGGTGCTCTAGAAGACGGGTTCAATTCTGCAGTCGACCAGCTCTCATTGCTAAACCCTGGCCTGGTCACCGAGGGTATCGGTCATACACACCGGGTTGTAGGTGGCGCGATCATTCCTCCGCCCGACTCTCCCAGCATCGACAATGATGATAATGTGGAAGTTTGATATTTGATAGCGGGCCTGCGTGCCCTTGATATTTGAATTTGTATTCTTTGGGCCTGCGTGCCCGTTCATTGTATGTTTTGAACACCGCCGGCCTTCTTGGTCGGTTTAATATTGCTTTGTTGCCTTCGGGCGTTTATACCTTGTTATTTATTTTGGATTTTCTGCCCTTGTATGAACTCACATGCTTGTATGAATTTAGCTCAAGTCCCGGGCCCGAGGAGTGCCCGTAGGTGGCTTTGATTTGGCGAGCGAATATGCTCGTCTCCATTTGTGTGCAATCTCGGCCCTATTTTGGTTGGCCGGGGTTGCTTAAGTGTTTCGCCCGTTTCGCTCGAGGGGAGAGATTTTCTTTTGACCCTTGTAGATGTCCCGTTATTCTTGATGGAATGTCGGGCATTTCGGAGCGAGGTTGCTCAGTCGGGCGTGGAGCCCGTAGGGACGATTCGCCCTTGGCGTGAACTGCCCATCGCGAGCTGGGTGTTCTGCCTTATGGGTACGACGACGGTGGGGCTCGGTACAGCTGTCCACGTCGGGCACTATCGATCGTCAACGTCTACCGCGCGATGCCGTGCCATTTTGGTCGTGCGTCGGGCCTGTACCTTAGCCTTAAACGAAATTGGACGTTTTTCCTCGTTGCCCGAGCGTGGTTGCTTTTGGTCGAGGGTCCTAGGTGTTGACAGTTTCTAACTGTAGTACTGCTTCAACTTAGCAGCATTCCAGGGTCTTGGTAATGGCTCTCCGTCTAACTGCTCGAGGTAGTACGCCCCGGTACCCGTGGTGCCGTGGACGCGGTAAGGTCCTTCCCAGTTCGCGGCCAACTTCCCTTCGCGGGAGTCTTTCTGGTTTCTGCGTAGTACCAGGCTGCCTATTTCGAACTCGCGCTTGATGACCTTGTCGTTGTGGCGTAGAGCCACTCGTTGTTTTAGGGTGGCTTCGCGCAGGGCAGCCCCCGATCGGATTTCCTCGACTAGGTCGAGTTCATCCCTTAGTGCTTCGTCATTCATCTCTTCGTCGAGGGGCTCCTCCGTTCGACGGGATGGTTCCATGATTTCGACCGGGATGACGGCTTCGGTACCGTAGGTCAGTCGGAACGATGTTTCCCCTGTCGTTGAGTGGGGTGTGGTGCGGTATGCCCACAGGACGCTGTGGAGCTCCTCGACCCATCCTCTTTTGGCTTCGCCGAGTCGACGTTTGAGCCCTCGGAGGATGACTCTGTTCGCGGCTTCGGCTTGCCCGTTGGTCTGAGGATGCTCGACCGACGTGAAGTGTTGTTTGGTCCCCAGTTTGGTGACGAAGTCTCAGAATCCGTGGTCGGTGAACTGGGTACCGTTGTCGGTCACCAGTGCCTGCGGAATTCCGAACCTGGCGAGCACGTTTCTTTTGTAGAAACGGAGGATGTTGTGTGAGGTGATTTTTGCGAGTGCCTCGGCCTCGATCCATTTCGTGAAGTAATCCACGGCGACGATTAGAAACTTGTTCTGATAGGTCCCTTGCACGAAGGGCCCGAGGATGTCCATGCCCCACCAGGCGAACGGCCATGGGGACGACAATGTGTTCAGCTCGTGTGGTGGGGCGAGGTGCATATCTCCGTGCTTCTGGCACTTGTCACATTTTTTCACGTGTTCCTTGGCGTCCTGTTGCATCGTCGGCCAGTAGTACCCTGCTCGAAGGGCTTTCCTTGCCAAGGATTTACCGCCCATGTGCTGGGCGTTGATGCCTTCGTGAATCTCCCGCAGCACGTCGGGGATGGAGGACTCGTCAATGCATTTCAAGAGGGGAATGGAGAATCCCCTTCGGTACAGTTTCTGCTCGAGAACAACGTAGGAAAATGCTCGCCGCTTTATTATGGCAGCGTCGGCCTGGTTCGTCGGAAGTTCTCCCTTCGTTAGGAAATTGTAGACCGGGGTCATCCAAGACGTGGCGTCCCCGATGGCGTGGACCTCGACCGTAGTTGAGGATGGTTCGATGCTCGGTCGTGCCAGAGATTCATGGATGACGGATTTATTCCCGCCTTTCTTTCGTGTGCTCGCGAGTTTGGACAATATGTCCGCCCTCGTGTTTTGCTCGCGGGGAACGTGAGAGATTTCTGCTCGTACGAACTTTGCCATGTGTTTTTTGACTAAGTTCAAGTACTCAATGAGGTTGTCATTCTTGGCCTGGTAGCTTCCCTGTACTTGGGAAGCGACGAGCTGGGAGTCGGTGTAAATTTGAACTTCACGGGCTCCTAGGTCCTCGGCTAGTCTCAGTCCTGCGAGCAGGGCTTCGTATTCTGCCTGGTTATTTGACGTCGGGAAGGAGAGAACCAAGGAGTGCTCGATTACCACACCCTCTTCGTTTTCGAGGAGGATCCCCGCGCCGCTTCCGGACGCACTGGAGGCTCCGTCGACGAAGATGGTCCATTTGTGTTCCTTTCCCGGGGGAATGTCGTTAGGGGTCATCTCGGCGACGAAGTCGGCCAGGGCTTGTGCTTTCAGGGCTTTCCTGCTCTCGTATTGAATGTCGAATTCAGAGAGTTCTAGGGACCACTTCAGCATTCTGCCCGCCATATCTGGCCGACCCAGGAGTTGCCTCACCGGTTGATCGGTTCGCACGATGATGGTGTGTGCTAGAAAGTAGTGTCTGAGCCTCCTCGCAGCGTTGACGAGGGCCAGAGCAACCTTTTCTATCTGTTGATACCTGCTCTCGGGGCCTTGTAGGGCTTTGCTCGTGAAGTAGACAGGTTTCTTCCCGTCAGGAGTCTCGCGGACAAGAGCTGCACTGATGGCTTCGTTTGAAACTGCCAAGTACAAGTATAGTGGCTCGCCGTCATCTGGTCGAGACAATACGGGCGGTTGAGACAGGCTCTGCTTCAGATGGCGAAGTGCGCGTTCGCATTCCTCGGTCCATTCGAAGGCTGCTTCCTTTCGAAGGAGTTTGAAAAAGGGAAGGGCGTGCTGAGCGGACTTCGCGACGAAGCGTGATAGTGACGTCAACATGCCGTTCATGATCTGGATCGACTTCTTCGACGTTGGAGTCGGGAGGTCGGCGAATGCTCGACACTTGTCGGGGTTGGCTTCAATCCCTCGTTCTGTTAGATAGAATCCGAGGAATTTTCCTGCCTTGACCCCAAACGTGCACTTCTCGGGGTTGAACCTCATTTTGCACTGTCTTGCTTGGGCGAAGACTGTTTTGAGATGAGCTGCGTGGTCGGTATCCGCTCGAGATTTGACGATCATGTCGTCCATATATACCTCGAGCATGTCGCCAATCTGTTTGTTGAACACCTTGTTCATCATGCGTTGGTAAGTCGCACCGGCGTTCTTCAGTCCGAAGGGCATTACGTTGTAGTAATAGTTGCCCGAGCTGGTCATGAACGCCGTGCAGCGTTTGTCGCCCGGAGCCATTGGGATTTGATTGTATCCCGAGTAGGCGTCCATGAACGACAAAGTCTTGTAGCCGGCCAAGTTGTCGACCAGCATATCAATGTTTGGTAGAGGAAAAGCATCCTTCGGGCAAGCCCGATTGAGGTCGGTATAATCAACACACATTCTCCATTTTCCATTATTCTTTTTAACAAGTACAACATTTGACAACCAGGTGGAGTACCGGGCTTCAGAAATAAAATTTGCCTCTAGGAGGTCTTTTACAGCTTTTTCAGCAGCCTCCGTTTTTTCTGGAGACTGCCTACGCCTACGTTGTACTACGGCCTTGGCGGCTGGATCAATGGCGAGGTGGTGACAGGCGACCTCAGGGTCGAGTCCGGGCATCTCTGCAGCGCTCCAGGCGAAGAGATCAGCATTCTCGCGCAGACAGGCCTTGATTTGCTTCCTGGCCAAGTCGGGGAGGTCTTTGCCAATCTTCACTCCCTTGGTCGGGTCTGCTCCGAGGGGAACGAGTTCAAAATCGCCGTCCGGAATAGGTCGGAGGGGGATTTGCTCGCCGCTGGATGGCTCGTCTTGGTCGAAGCGGGCGTCGAGGGCTATGGAGTCGACCTTTGGAGGAGCCTTCTGAACTTCTACCTCGGGGGATGCGCTGTCGGGCTCTTGCTTTGTCTTCTTGGTGGGCCTG